AACCCTGAGACCAAGAGTCGCATGCTCCATCAACTGAGCCTGCCTGGCACCCCAAAAATGTATTTCTTTCTTCCTTTGTTCCTCCCTTTCATTTTTTCTTTCTTTCCTCTTTCTTTTCTTCCTTCTTTCTTTTCCTTTCTCCTTGAAAGTGCAAGCAGGGGAAAGAGAGAGAGAAAGAGAAAAGGAGAGAGAGAGAGAAAGAGAGAAAGAGAGAAAAAGAAAGAGAAAAAGAGAAAAGAGAGAGAGAAAAAGAGGGAGAGAAGGAGAGAGAGAGAGAAGGAGAGAGAGAGAGAAGGAGAGAGAGAAAAAGAAAGAGAAAAAGAGAGAGAGAGAAAGAGAGAGAGAGAGGGAGAAAATCTTAAGCAGGCTCCGTGCTCAAGCATGGGGCCTGACTCAGGGCTCATTCCCACAACGCTGGGATCATGATTTGAGCCTAAATCAAGAGACAGACGCTCAACCAACTGAGCCACCCAGGTGCCTCCTAAATATATTTAATCTTAAAAGTAAGTAGTATAGCTTGCTATAATTATTGTAAAAGATAACAGTGATGAATAAAATACATGTTTGTATTTATTATTTCTAGTTTTTGTGTAGGCACAAACTACAAAGTGTAGTTTGTAAAACTATGCAAGAACTGATCATTGGTTTTGGGAAAGCTATTCCTTATTTTTAAATTAATTAATTAACTAATTTTCATGTATTTGTTTTTATTATTTTTTTTTAATTAAAATTTTTTATCACTATTTTTTTTAATTTAAATTCCAGGTACTTTTTTTTTTTTTTTTAAGATCTACTGGTTCAAAGCAAAAGCAGGAAACTTTCACCTTCTATGGTCTCTCTCCACTTAAACTGACCAGTATGCTTTTTCTTCTTCCCAAATTCTATGACATTAGTTAAGACTCTTACTAGGTTGCAAGAAAGGTACAAGCCCAGGGTGCCTGGCTGGCTCAGTCGGAAGAGTGTGTGACTCTTGATCTCAGGGTCATGAGTTTGAGCCCCACATTGGGTGTAGAGATGACTTAAATAAATAAAACTTTAAAAAGAAAGGTAAAGCCTATGTTATTTCGGGATGATGGCTGCCAACGAGGGAACGCTGGCTTTCAGAGAGGAAGAAAGCACTCCAGGGAAAAACACAGATGGAGGAAAAGCAATCTCTCTTCATGACCACGTCCTACCTTCTGCATTCTAGAACCCTTTAAGACCCAAACATCTGCTATCTGGGCATATCAGATGTGTCTACCGCTCAAAACGAAGACTCTCCCCAGTTCACACCACAAGGGAACTGAGACGCAGAAAGATGTCGTCACTGTCCAAGGTCACGTGTTCAGGCAAAGCCAGAATTTAAACCAGGCAGTTTGACTCCAGGGTCCAGGCTGGTGGTTACCCTCAGCTAGAAACAATTTACACATTACCTACAGATACAAAGCAAACTGCAACTCCACAGCAGGTGATCTGAATCCAAATGAAAGATTTCCTGAGGTCTAATTTCAGGCATCAGAGAACTGAAGCAAACAATGAAAATATCTTGAGGCATATTTTGTGACTGGGACCCTTATGGGGCCTTCCAACTTTGAAAGAGTTAAATCTGGTCCAATGAAAGACCATCTCCTGTTCCGGAAGTCAACCAATCAATCTGAAGAAAGACTAAAATTTCAGTACAATTTTATGAGAAGCTTGAAAATTGCCTGTTATTATTTACAATTTCCTAGTCTTTGTGAAATTCTAACCGGAGAGTTGACACGGGTCCAAGCCCGGATTGGATTTTAAAGAGACAACCTAAAATGGTTACCCTTCCCCCAAGAACAATAGGTTAGAGGATCCAGAAATAGACCTAAATAAATTAGGAAGTAAAATAAAGGTGGCATTTCAAGTCAGCAAGGAAACCATGGTATATTCAATGAATGATTCCAAGACAGCTAGTTAGGCATCTGGGGCCTGATCTCAGTCTAGTCACCAGAATAAATTCCAGGAAGAATTTAAAGCTAGGGGCACCTGGGTGGCTCAGTTGGTTAAGTGTCTGACTCTTGGTATCAGCTCAGGTCACGATCTCACGGTTCATGGGACTGAGCCCACTTTGGGCTCTGCGCTAACAACGTGGAGCCTGTTTGGGATTCTCTCCCTCGCTCTCTGCCCCTCCCCTACTTGGTCTCTCTCTCTCTCTCAAAATAAATTTTAAAAAATTAAATATAAAAAATGAAACTATGAATTATTTTTTTAAACATTCAAATTTACAAAAAGCCATTCAAAGCTTAAGATACAGAAGCACAGAAAGAGTAATCAATTTGACTATGTAAATATTAAAAACACATCCATGGCCAAAAAAAAAAAAAAAA